TGCCGTACAACTCAAAGTGGTTTTTTAAATATTTCAAAAACTAATAAAGATATTAATATCAAAATCTGCAAAGATGTGTCCAATTACCCTCTACATACATTCTGAAAATTTTAATGGATGCAATTATTCGGGTAGCTGCCATACAACTCCAAAAGCAAATTTTAAGTATAATTCGGTCAGTTTGTACCGACTGAAACGTTTTTTCTTGTTTTTTTTTATAATTCTCAAAGCTTTTTAATTGAGATATGGGCTGGTGGCGTGTTTTGTGTCGAATAGACTCAATAATTGTGGTGAATGCAAATTTTTTTATTCAAATCTGGTTCAAGTATTCAACGAATTTCAACAAGTTTTTTTTTATTTATAAATTTTTGCCCTTTTTTGCCACATTTTTCTAATTTCGTATGTGTACAGAAATACATTTTTTTATTAAATGCAAAAACATAATGTTTCCTGCTTTTATAAATCTTTTAATATTCTTGTGCAAGTTAACATAATCTCAGTGTAACATTTTATTAATTTTTATTTTTCATGGTGAAAATATATTTCTTAATTTCAGTTTAAACCCTTAATCTGCCACTTATTGTTACGTACTTTAAACAAAAAGGAGCAAATGTAGAGACACGAGATTTCTCATAATGTAAATAAATTTGAGTAAAAATAAGAGCTCAAAGTGCTCTAATCAGTTCTGTATTGAAGCAGTGATTCTAAACCTTTTGCGAGAATGTACGCAACGAAATTATTTATGTACTTTTTTGAAAATTTATCAAATTTATTGAAGTACATAAATGTATACTACGTAATGTTTTAACTTATTTCTTAGTTTGAATATTTTAAAAACATGTACATACATATGTGTAACTTAATTATGTACATAAAGGTAGATTAAACAACTTAATGAAACACATATGGACTATTAAGTTAGAGATTTTTTTTAAGACGTTCATGGCACTAAAAAGTTTCGCACAGGAAATGAAAAACATAGACAACTAGACTATCATAAGAAGAAAGACTACATATTGGTTTAATTTCATTAAGTAACAGTGTGTGAATATTTGAAATTTTCATTTTTTTTTATATTACAAGTATGTAAATACAGCCCATGTATTAACTCACACCCGATTTTTGAGCTTTTATAACCGGTTTTTAAGCTATTTTTGCAACTCCAATTGGCTTCAAATTTAGCATGGAGTGCTAAGTCGGATATGACGAGTATTTTACTTCAATAAGAATATATTTTTCCGGTCATTTTATACAGGTGCTAGAGTAAAACGACATAACATACAGAACTGTAAGAACTTTGTAAGATTTAAGTTTATGTTTATTTCAAATTATAACTCATTGATTAATTACTGCTGGTATGTGGATGCAATTTTTTATATTTTTTAAATCAGCGATTTATTACCAAACCTAATTTCAAGTTTTCCTTCTTCATTAAGTTGTATATTTATGCACATAATGTATACCCATTCATATTTTAACACGTTGAGTCCCAATGAATCAGCCCATGCTCAAAAATAATCTTATTCCAATGTGAACATTTTTAAAAAATAAAATTTTTTAAATTGATTATCTAATAAGATAAGTTTAATTTCTTCCGAAGAAGAAAAAACCTAATATTTTATTTAAAGGTTTTTTAATTATTTTCAAAACTTAATATAAATAATTCATACATCGTATGAGTAAGTTTTAAGACATTGAATCAAGAAAAACAATTTTTCTATTTATATGTAGTTGTATAAATTTAATATTAATCTATATTATTAATGAATAATATGATAGTTATTAATAATATAGATTTAATATTTATTATAATATAGAAATAATAATATAGATAATAATAATCTATATAAATTTAATATTAATAATATGAAAATATAGTAATTCCTTTGTTAAATTGGTTTCTGCGAACGAAAATAACTTTAATGATGTTGACTGGGACTTTAAGCGAATTTCTAATAACCTAATTATAGATTGACTTAATTATAGATTGAAAATTAAAATTGACTTTTTAATTTAGGGTTATTTTTGACAATAAAGTAACTTACAGATTTTTTTGGTTTAAATGACTTAAAGTGCAGAAATATAGTATTAAAAATTTTAGAGATTAAGTTGTCTATATTGAAATGACTTCATTCGAGCGACTACTGTATATAACATAATTACATGTACTGTACATAATATTACTTATTGTGTAGGAATAAGAAACATTTTGGATTTTTTGAGCGTTTAGATTTTTTGAGCTTTTATTAAAACGTAAAATCGATTTATTTTGGTAAAATTTTTAAAAATGCTTTTTCAAGTTCAGTGTCATTAATATAGTGTTACCGCAAAAATTATTTTTAAAAATATTATGATTCACTGTTTTCTATCAATTGTACTTCATTTAACTAAATTACCAAGGATATTATGGAAAAGTAAATGGAAATAATATTTTAGAAATGAGTGTTAGACTATCTCGTTTTTTTAATTTCTCAAAATAAATAAATTTTTATTATGAGTGTATGTGTACATGTACTATATTGTTCTATATTGTTTTATAGATAAAAAGCTTTAAACTAACTCCAGAGGTCTCGTACATTTAAGTCTTCTAACAAAGTTTTGATTGTGAACCAATCTAGCCGCCTCGATGTTGACATGATTGGATAAACGCATTTTATGATTTTCTCCTTGCTTTTTAATTTCGTCTGTGACACTTAGGATCGTGAGATCCCTGTGTATAAGGGCATTACGGACATACCAAGGGGCGTTTACAATGTCCCGTAATACTTTATTTTGAAATCTTTGCATAGATTGGATATGAGTCTGCGCAGCGCAATCCCATAACTGAATACCGTAAGCCCAGACAGGCTTAAATATTTGATAATATATCAAAACTTTGTTGTATATTGTCAATTTAGAACGCCTCCCCAAAAGCCATTCAAACTTTCTGTATTCCTCCTTTAGTTGAGATCTCATTTTCTTCATCTGCTCCTTCCATCTAATCTTCGCGTTCAACGTCATTCCTAAATACTTCGCCGTGTTTGAGACGGAATCAAGACGCCATTTATTCGAACCGAAAATGAATTGCCAATTTTCCTATTAGTGAAATTTACGTGTGCTGATATCACCTCGTTAAGTTTTATATTCTACTTTCTAGTCCATTTTGAGATCTTATTACTGGCCCTTTGCAATTTTTGTGTAGATTCATTTTCATTTCGTCCTATTGCGATAACTGCTGTATCATCAGCAAATGTAGCTGTTGTCACTCCTTCCGATTCAGGAATATAACACGTGTATAGCAAGTATAATATCGGGCCCAATATACTCCTCTGTGGTACCCCCGACCTGATATCCCTAAGCGAAGAGTACTCCTCTTCCTGTTAAACTCGAAAAACCCTATTAGTTAGGTAAGATTCGAGCAGGTCAACATACTGCCTTGGCAGTAATCGCCTAAGTTTTTTTATTAATCAACAATGCCAAACCTTATCGAAGGCCTGGACTACGTCCAAAAATATGATAGAACATACTGTTTTTTCTTCCAGTGAATTTTCTATTAGGTCAGTTATTCTATGAATCTGATCTATGGTTGAGTGGTTGCGTCGAAAACCAAATTGATGATTCGGGATTAACCTTTTACTTTCAATTATAGACTGAAGTCTTCTCAATAAAAGTTTCTCCAGCAGTTTTGAAATCCTCGGCAACAATGAGATTGGTCTATAAGAAGTCGCCCTGTCTATAGGTTTGCCAGGTTTCAGGCACGTAATTGAACCTTATACACGCATTTATTAGGCGCGTAAGCATCGTTATACCCCTTTTGGGTAATTCTTTCAAAATATCGGCCGTTACTAGGTCAAATCCTGGGGCCTTTTTAGGTTTAAGAGTCCTGATTTTTTCTATAACATCTCTTTCCCTGACAATTGGAATAGCAACGCTATCCCCAACAAAAGCAGATTCCTCATTTTCATACACGCCCTGGCTGTCATGTGGGCAGAATATATCGGCCAAATGATCCGCAAACGCCTTGTTCTTGTCAGTTTTTGCCCACTTTCCATCTTTGTTTTTAATAGGAGCGAGATGTTTGATAGGTTGCTTCATTTTCTTTGTTGCCCTCCACAGTGAGTAGTTGGTTTTCTCACACGCCGTCAAATTTTGAATATAATCAGCAACCGAATCCTCTTTGTATTTTCTAATACGGCTTCTTAGTTGTTGCGATTTACGATTATATCTGGTTTTATCAGTAGGATCCCGCGTTTGCTGCCACCTCTTTCTCGCCGCCTGCTTCGTCTTACTTTTGCTAGTATATGTGGGGGATAGTTAATGCCCCCCTTCTAATAACATTAATTTTGGAACTACTCCAAGCCGCATTTTGAATAATTTTAGTAAAGTTTTCGGCCTCCTCATCTATGTGCTGTGTCGTTCTTATTCTTTTCCTTAGATCTATTTGTCGTTCAATCTCTAAGCGAAATCTTGACCAATCTGTAGTTCCATTTGTCAGCGCAGGTTTCGCTCTTTTCATAACTATATTTTCCTTAAGTTCAAGAATAACCACCGAATGATCGGAGTTAAGATCATAGTTATCATGTACCTCGATGAAATTTTTCGCAATCCGTTTTGTTATGAAGAAATCTATTAAATCTGGACACTTATCAACATCGGTTGGCCATTACGTTGGCCACCGATTCTTCCTTTAGTTGAAGTATGCCTTGAACCCCAGTCAGTGTGCTTGGCGTTAAAGTCATATATATATAATGAAATAATTAATAAAATACATAGCTCGTTTTTAATAGCAGTATTTTCAGTTGTTAAAGGAAATGGTGCTACACTGCAAATCATGGGTTTGACCCAATTACATTTTATAAGTGCATCATATATATTATTACAAATTTGTATTTAAAAAACTATTTTCAAAATATATAGATACGCGTACAGGTTACCTTAAATATATTTACTTACTTACATTTAAACCTATTATACAACCAGTTTATTGCTTCCATTATTTATTGTTTTTTTTTAATTTATAGCCGTAAAATAGAAAGCATTGGCAAAATGACACAAATGACACAAGATGAAATTATTAGTAATACAAAAACTGTCCTTCAAGGATTGGAAGCGTTACGTGTTGAGCATATGTCTTTGATGTCTGGTATTACAGATGCTAATCGACGTGATGAAAAAACGGAAATTGTTACAAAAAATATTGAAAGTATTGAATTAGGCTTAGGTGAAGCACAAGTTATGATGGCGCTGGCGTCATATCTGCAAAACATTGAAGCTGAAAAACAGAAATTAAAAACTCAAGTAAGAAGATTATATCAAGAAAACGCATGGCTTAGGGACGAATTAGCAAACACGCAACAAAAGTTCCAAGCATCTGAGCAAATGGTTTCTCAACTAGAAGAAGAAAAAAAACATTTGGAATTTATGGCATCTGTTAAAAAGTATGATGATAATCAAGAACAAGAAGAAAATTTTGAAAAATCTAGAACAGATCCAGTTGTAGAACTATTTCCAGAAGAAGATCAAGAAGAACGCAATAATATGAATTCCCCGACACCACCAAGCCAATTCGCTAATCAAACGTCTGGATATGAGATTCCGGCGAGATTAAGAACTCTACATAATTTGGTGATACAATATGCTGCACAAGGAAGGTAATATTAAGAATATAAATTTGAGAAAATATATTTATAAAAATTCATTCAAATTTAAGGTATGAAGTTGCTGTACCTCTTTGCAAACAGGCTCTTGAAGACTTGGAGAAAACTAGCGGTCATGATCACCCAGATGTGGCAACTATGTTAAATATACTGGCTTTGGTCTACAGAGATCAGGTTTTTTTTTACTTTTGTATTTTAAAAATCATATAAAATTAGTATTAAAGATAGTATTATTAATTTTTATTTTATAGAAATAAAATGAAACTTAAAGGAATTTTATTTCCATTTATGAAAAATTTGCTCTGTATAAACTTTCCTAATTATACCATATAAAAACTATGCAGAAGTTTATTGAATTTTTTCTTATATTTTCAATTAGGTTATTTTTTTGTTACGCATATTCTTATAGTCAAATACAGGTAATAATAAGTTTAATTTAAAACCAATCAAATCCTGATTTAAAAACTTTTCATGTATTGATAAACCAACATCTTTCTATTAAATGATAAAATTTTCTAAAAAAATGCACTATGTATTACTTTTGAGATTAAATATTTTGTTTAAATTGGTACAGTTTTATCAAATTCTCGTAAAATTTTCATTAAACACTCTTTATTAAATATAATAAACTTAAAAAATCCTTTTACAATTGGAGAATTTTAACCAGAACTTAGTTAAACATTCCCCAAAAAACGTATCTTTTAGATTGTTAGAAAACTCATCAATTTAATATTTTCCTTTTTTCTGCAAGCTTGTCTAAATCAGAATTCAAAAAAGCGTTCTTTTTCTAAAATAAAGTTAGGTTAAGTTAATGGTTTACAATTTAACAGTTTTCCCTTCAACAAGAGAAAATACTGCTTTTAAGAACAATCAGCTATATAATACTACTATATTATTAAATACTAACAAAAACTTAAAAGAGACGTCAACATAATTCTCGAATTTAAGGGTTATTTGCGTGAGTTCAGTAAAATAATGATCAACTCTTGGAATATGTTAGGTTTCAGGAACTGAACTTTTACTACGGGGCGATTTTATATTTTTGATCACTTTTAAGACAATATTCAACTTTATTTGATATACATATAAACTTAGACTGACAGTACGAGAAGCCATCTAATTTTTCCCGGAAATCAAGCATCAGCAAATGGACTTTTATTATACGAAGCAAATTTATATTTTTGTGCATATGCGGGGAAATTTTTTAGCGTATCTAAGGAACTAATTGACCGAGTTTCTTGAAATTTAATATTTCCATTCTGTTTGCTAGCGAAACTAGCAAACGAACTTTTCAAGGAATTCAGTTGGCACAAAACGAAATTCTACAAAGAGCCAAATTTACATATTTCTTGGTATGTTAACTAAAAGCTTACTAACTTCCTTAAAATTTGAAAGAACTCTTTAAAAGTCATTGTCATAAATTTGTGCAAAATTTTCGCTAAACTAGAAAATACCTTGCAGTTATGCACTGGTTACATCAAATTTTTTATTATTTGATGATTTTGCATAAACAAATTTTATAAAAAAATACATGTGTATAATCAAATGAAAATCATTCAAATTAGTCAATTCAAATTATTGCCTAAGCCAAATTGTTGAAATTAAATTTACAATAAATTGGTGTCCAATTGATTATATTTTATAATAATTACTATAATTTTGTATTTGCATCTAGAATAAATACAAAGAGGCTGCAAATTTGCTAAATGATGCATTGTCCGTTCGTGAAAAAACTTTAGGAGAAAATCATCCAGCTGTTGCTGCTACTTTAAATAATTTAGCTGTGTTGTACGGAAAACGTGGTAAATATAAAGATGCTGAGCCATTATGCAAACGCGCTTTAGAGATACGAGAAAAGGTATTAGGAAAAGATCATCCAGATGTTGCAAAGCAATTGAACAATTTAGCTCTATTGTGTCAGAATCAAGGGAAATATGAAGAAGTTGAAAAATATTACCAACGTGCTTTGGAAATATATGAAACAAAATTAGGTCCAGATGACCCAAATGTCGCAAAAACTAAAAATAACCTAGCTAGTTGCTATTTGAAACAAGGTAAATACCAAGAAGCCGAAATATTATACAAACAAGTTTTAACAAGAGCTCATGAACGTGAATTTGGCGCAATAGACAGTAAAAATAAACCAATATGGCAGGTAAGTTATTTAAAATTAGTTTTACGTTACAATTGGTAAAAAAAGTTTTTTTTTAATCGGGTATGTAGTAACCAACTAATTTCATATAATATTCAAAATTAATTTTAATTATTTATTTTTCACCAGTTTAAGTGTCGCTTTTATGTTTTTATATTTATAAAATACAACACATATAAAACATGTTTTACATTTTTTCAAAATTTTTTTTTACTTTATGTTTTTTTAAATTTATTCCCTGCAACTCTTATTTTTTATATTTATTATTTTATTTCATGCCGAATATATTTTATCAGACTATCAATTCAGTTCAAATTATTTTCAGAAACAAAGCAATTTACTAAACCAATTGCTTCCTCTTATTATTTTGTATACCGTTATGCATATTATCCGGTTCATGTAGATTTTTTTCATTTTTGAGTATTCTCATTTTGTTTTGTACGTTTTGCAAAGCTCTCTAGGAAAACTATATAATTTCAATTTTAGTTTGAATTTTTCTTTGCAGTGTTAGTTGTAAACTATCTGACAGAAATTTTCAAAAAAGCACTGGAAACTTTTTTTTTTAAATTGATTGAATCAAATTTCTTCTCTATAATTCAGTTTCCTTTCGTAGGGAAGCAAGAAAATATCGAATGTAGATTTTGCAATGTATTTTTATAGTAATTTTATGAATTTATTTTAAAGAAATTAAGACCTTAATTACTTTAATATAGTTGAAATCAAACAACTTTAATATTATACGATTTGCATAAAATAAATATTACTCAATACGCTATTCCTTATTTAATTTACATAGAAATTAAATTATTTTTAAGGTGCTCTTTGAGTATTGTGCTCTGATAGAATACATTCGGCATTAGCTTTATTACAATAATTTTTAGATAAAAATCGTTGCCCTTCATAATTCAACAGGGTGGTGTATAAAGCATAATCATATTTATAAATTATTTGTAAATATATATTGAAAAAGAGAATGCAAGTTGGAATTGTGACTATGACTTGACATTGTAGTTTCTCTGCAATCACTTAAAACTCTTAAAAAATTTTTATATAATATTATAAACGTTGTAAGTGTTAAAACTACTCATTGTGCTCACAAATATTTAAAAATATTTTATATTTATTTAATGAATTTACATCAAATTGTAGAGTAAGTAACAAGTTTTATTTTTTATTGTAAGAAAATTCATTCGAGAAATATTTAATAATTCATTTCTCAGATTATGAACCTGGGTAGTTTAACACCGAAGATCATTGTTGAATAAATTTATTTAACGTAATGGGATTTTTATTTTTTTCTCACACTAAATCCATTAATATTAAATTCAAAAAAATGTTTTTAATGGTATGAATTCTTTAAATATGAAGATAATAAATTTTATGTAGTTTCTAATTTTTCTGTAGGGTTTAAATGTGAGTTTCTCAATAATACTAGTTCGTCTGACTTGTGGTAGGTAAATTGTCTTTGTAATAAATTTGGTAGGCAGTTGAATCTTGTCTTTTGTTCTGATCCTGGGAGTTTTGCTGTGTCTACTTGGGACCAATTTTTTGATCGTCCGGATGATTACCATCCACCTGTCCCTGTAATGTTTCCTGTCAGGATGATTTGTTCTGCTGTCCGGGGGGAAGCAGTGCTTCAGCTTTAATTTTTGTAAGGCTAATCTTGGTTATTTTTTCGTTTGCTTATTTTGATTTTTTTTTCCTTGCGCGCGGAGTTTGACTCAATTTTCTTAACTGATGCGAATGTTGGTGGATATTGGCGAACTGATGATGAATGTTGATGCGAATGAAAACTGATGGTTGTCTGCCCAAGCTTTATTTGCGTGTTTCTTTTTGTTTGCGTGTTTCTGTGTCTGTGGTCCAAGATAATTTCTGATTTTATTAATTTTAAGAATAGGTCTAATGGTTATCCATCCTCGCCCTAATTTTATGTTAGTTCTTCTAATGATCCTTTGTTCGCCTGCCACTCTTCGAATGTTTTTGCTCCGGTTGGTGGAGATTTTGCTGCTTTTGCTGATATTGGTGGTGTGCCTTCTGGTGTTTTTAATCTTGATGGTATTGTGCTGGGGAATGATGTCGTTCTGCGCGTCATGGAGTGTTTGGGTGGTGACTGATCTCCTGGTCCTGATAGAATTCCAAGAGTAGTGTTGTGTAGGTGTGCTGGTCCCACTATTGGTCCTCTTACCTTTTTAATCAATCGTTGGTGTCTTCCGTCTTTCCTTCGGCTTGAAAGGAGTCGAATGTTGTTCCAGTGCATAAGAAGGGTTAGCGTATTTCAGTTATTAATTATAGGTTTATAAATATTAGCTAAGGTTATAAAGTTATTATAGTTAAGATGTCGACTATTTCTAAGCTTTTTGAGGGTATTTTGGTTGATTACTTCTATTCTTACTGTGGTCCTTTTATTCATTCCTGTTAGCATGGTATTCAGAAAGGTGGCTGGTTACTAATATAGTAGAGTTTGTCTAGGATACTAATAATATCATGGAGGGGTAGGACAGGCCGATGTTGTTTTTGCAGACGTTAACAAAGCTTTTGATACTATTCTGCATCAGGTTATTCTGAGTGGCTAGTATTGGTTTTCCTCTTCTTAGCTTGATGTTGGTCTCTTTTTATTTAACACGTAGGTTGTATCAGGTTTCTTTCCGTTCGGCTCTGCCTTCTTATAGTGGCTACTAACGATACTTTTGACTCTATTTTAGGTGTCACGTCTTATAGTTTTGCCAATGATTCCTTGGTTTTGGGGCCGGGTGGGTCGGTGTTTGATTGTTTGGCGTTACAGAGTGATTTGGACAATTTTAGGAGGTGGTTTCGGCTTGTTATATAACGTTGTCGGGTGTTGAGTTTTTCAAGAAGGAGGGAGTTTTCTGTTACCTGGCATGAATTATGACTCCACATTCTGGTATTGGTGAGGGTTAGCGTTTTTTTTTTTGTGTTATTGGTAAGCTAACGAGTTTGTTGATTCGTATGTTGCGAAGCATTTGTATCTGTCTTTTGTAAAGCTGATTTTGAATTATGTTGTCAGGTTTGGGCACCGTGATGTGGGGTGAATGTTTCTCGCATTGAATCTGTTCAGCGGAAATTTCTACGTTTTGCTTTGTGGGATTTAGGCTGGTCTGATCCTTTTTGTCAGTATCTTATGAAGCTAGATTGATGTTGAGATCCTTGACAGAGCGATCGGTAAATTGAGAGAGGTTATCGATGACGTAGTGTTTATTCATCAGCTTCATCGTGGACCATTGTGGCTCCTTCTTTGTTGGAACAGGTTGAAATGAGCCAGTCACTAGAATGTAGTGTTGTGTTAGTTCTAATTCTTTGATGTTTGCTCCTACTATTAGTAAGGGTAATTAGACTTTTGTGTAATTTCAATTTTTATTAATATTCTTTTTCTTGTTTCTTTTTATTTATTTATTTTTTCTTTCTCTTCTATTGTTCTTACTTCTTTTGTGTCTGGTGGTCGGTATGTTGTTAGCAAAGTATATCCATTAATAAGTAATTCGACTCGTTCCATTCCGTTAGTTTTCGTTTGCATCTTGATTCCAAATTCTTAAAATATTCAAAAAAGGAGTTGTGTAGGCAAGAAAGAAAGAAAATATTGTAAACAAACGAGTGTATCAAAAACATTGAACTGAAATAAAATGAAATTAAGTTAGGCAAAAATTTTGTTATTTTTGTTTTGATAATAACAAAATTTATTTTTCATTTTATTAAAGTTAGGTAAAGAATTCGAATGTATGAAAGCAAAAGAGTTTGAAGTTTCATGTATGAATGTACACTTGCATGTACCTGGTACAGTAGATACACAGCATCAGGTAGTGACATAGAAATAAAGTAATTTGTATAGAAAAAAAGGTGTATGCATACTGATTAATACCTTATGAAATATAATTATTACCGATTCATGGGAAATATGTTCTAAATTTATTAGGATTGAAATAAAAAATTTAAAGATAATTTATTTATTTTATTTATTAATAATTATTAATTACAAATGCTTAACACTAATTATTTAAAATATTTTCAAAAGTACATTTACCTCTCCACATTTTTTCGGCCTTTTTTCATTCCAAACACTTCAAATAATGTTTACCCATTCTTATAAAAAAATATTTTTTTGACAACTATTTAAATTTTTTTTAATATTATACGTCTTTTCAAAATTTATTTTTATTATTTTTCAAAATTATATTATACAAATTATAATAATTTTTTTTAAACACTTTTTCTCTTCTTCGCTTTTATAATATAATACACATTTTTTGCCACCTTGTACTGGAATAAGTTACAAAAATAAAACTCCCGCCTTTAAAATTCTTAATATTTTTTCCTATACTTTATATAGGAAAAATACATATATAAAAATACATTATATAAAAAGCAGGTAAACATCTATTGCGTACTCTTTCCCTCTCCCAAAAATTTTTATGTGTATAAAAATGAAAATAAGAAGTTATACTGCTTAACTCTTTTAGCTAAGGGAATTTTTTTGTATACAAAAATTGGTGAGGATTGCATTAGTGTGATGTAAACGGAGAGTCGAACTGCTTATTAATAGATATACTTTGGTTGTTAGGCTTTAAGTTTTTTTCTATTTGTGCTCGTCATTTTATTTTAATTGCATTATCCTCTATTAACCTATATTCTCCTCTCTTTTTTGTTCCCTTTCTTATAAATAATGACTCTGTTGCTTAGTTGCGACTAAATAATGTTTTTATTTAAGTCTTTTGACGATTTGTCTAATGCTTGATCTAAGCAATGAATATTTGATAAAAACGAAAATATTAACTTGGAAATAATAAAAGTGTAAAACTCAAGGTTCAATGGAAAACAAAAACAAAATTTATAAGTTGTGCTAAAACATTGATTTTATATTTGTGCACTCGTGTAGTTCGTTTCAAAAATATTTATTCTAATTTGAGTCAGCAGGTAGAATTCTTTTCTATATTAATAGATAGATAATATATTTTAGATTTAACGAATAGTTAATTTTTATAATAAAGTAT